CTGGGTTCGATTCCCGCACTCCTTTACAGTGGACAAAGAACCACTGTGGTTGTTTGACAAGTATCACTGTTAAATTTTGATATCTTACAAATATCTGTACAAAAACCATGAGTATCTTTTGTCTTTTTGTTCGATTCAGCGAGAGAAGAAAAACATCCTTGAACTTCTAAAACGGCGGCAAGATGCCCAAGAAGAAGAGCTGAAACAAAATCTAAAACTGGAGCAAGATGTTGAGATGGAGAAGCTCAGAAAGGTAAAAAAAAACCCTTTCTATGGGCTAAATAACCTAGAATTCATTTTTAAAATAATATTAATAACCATAAAAATCAAAAGATTGGAGTTCAATTGCTACTTTGTTTCGATCCCTCCACTTGAGTAGTTTCCAACTAGATATTCATCGCATGAAATAAAATGTTAGAACCACATTGTATAGCTTAAGAAACAATACTGCCTCAGTGTAAGCTTTCATTTGAATAATCACACACTCGGATTTTCTCACAGAAGTAGATGTTGAACTATGTTTTATAGCACACTAAACAGTACCGTATAAAAGAGCTGGTCAGTAGCTTGTATGACATTGTTACTAAAGGGTTTTATTCGAAGGTACTGCGGTTTACGCTATAGAACCTTCTTGAACACTGCACGATGAAAAGCTTTCATTGGCATGCTCACACTAGCTAGCGGTTTAACCCCCCCCCCCACCCCCAAAAGTGAAGCCCTCAAATTAAAGGGAAAAAATTGAAACTGCTACAGTTCTTGATGCCAAACGGTTGCCTGTAAGTTAGACTACCTATTTTGCTTGTATTCGTCTTTGCAGGAAGTTTCGATAAGTAAACGTTTTGCGCTGAAAGAATCTCAAAACCAGCTTATACAGAATTTAGTGAAAGATGCAAAACTAAACGAAGAACAAGCGAACGCTATCATGAAGAATCATTTGGCTAACATGGCCGCCATAGACAAGGCCACCGATGACGAGCGAGACAGACGTGTCATGGCGCTGGAAAAGAGGCTGGCTGAGAGAAGAGCGCTAGCCAAACAGAAAGTAAGTGACAAAGCCGAATTCGACTGAAATCGGTTATCCACGTTTTACCTTTTTTTTAGTCGTCCTATTTTGTACTTTGCAATGTTTTTCAGAGCTTATTGCGATTGCATGTTGTAAAATTACAACAGCCAATTAGACAGAATAAAAATGGTACAAGGAGCTGTATAACTCAAAAACCAAACGGAAGTCACCAAGTCATGATTGGTTTTAATTTTGAATCAGATTGACTGAAAAAGTGCGATGAGTTTTCTAAACTAATCGTATGGCGAAGTAAAACGAAAAGCAAAAAATGGGGTTACTTCTGATTACTTCTATTGAAAATTGCTGCGTTGCTTTTGACTTAGACCTGTCGCTTGTTCGCAGCATGAAGAAGAGGAACGTAAGAAGAGAGATTTAGACAAGTTAGAACAAAATCACGCTGAAGCACTGGAAAATCTTGTCCGGTAAGAATATGTACTCTGCTTTTATCAAACCCTTCATGAACATGTACAAATTGAAGCTACCTTATCAAGATGTCTAGAAAAACTTGGCAAATTGCTTAGAGAGAGATAGGGAGGTAAGGGAGGGGGGGGGGATGGGGGTTTTAGCGACGAGAAATCGTCCGATCCAGGAGTGGGTCGTAGTCAATTCCTGCCAAAGGAACTGGGATAATCTCAGGTCGCAAGAGCCGTTTGGCTTGTTAAACTAAACCTTCCCTATCATCTTCTTGTCACTAGGTCATCGAATCTCAACTCAGAAGATGCTGCGACTTACTTGGAAAGATTTAGAAAAGACTTGGAGGTCGTGAACAACAAACTTGCAAAGGACAGAAAACGCCAGGAACAGAAATTACATCATAAACTGACAGCACTTAAGCAGAAAAGAATTGAAGAAAAGGTACACAGACTGGTTCTGTAACGTCGTCAATGAGCTAACTTACTTTGTTCAAAGATTAACCTCTTGCCTCGTTTCTTGTGAAACTTCATGTTAAATAATTTAGCTGTTTCGTCATTGCAAGTTCTGTTAATCTTCTCCGTCTTGTTTGGTTTATTTTTGCCACTTTTTTTTTATTTTTTTATCTTATCGAACTGATATATCCACGCAGTCCTTAACAATTCTCAATGCTTTTGCTTTTTACCTTCACAGTTTACCTCTAACTTTGAAGTTGATTTTGAATATCTTAAATGACAGAGTAGTCCTGGTTTTTTCTGCCTTAACATAAAATTTGGTAATGCCCTGCACAGACATCTGCTTTTGTTATGCAAGTAATCAATCTATTGCCTCCGAATGGGCGGTATTTCGGCAGTTTTGGTTATAGTGTCTGCAGAAAAGTTTAAACTACCTATGAAACTATTAATTTTGTTCTGCTTCCTAGCCAAAATCGCCAAAGAAACAAGACTGTGTGTGCATAATTCCGAACGACTCTGATAGCTACATTCAGTTAGCTTCAGTTAATGTTATAATTTGGATATATCAACAAAGTTGAAATGGTGAATTGGCCACCGTAATGATTACAAAAGCTGACGTTTCGAGCGTTAGCCCTTCGTCGGAGCGAAACATTCGCTCCGACGAAGGGCTAACGCTCCGAAACGTCAGCTTTTGTAATCATTACGGTGGCCAATTTACCATTTCAACTTTGTTGATATATCCAAATTATGAAGTGGAAAGACATAGACCGAAAATCCTGGCAGACTACAGGCAGTAAAAGAACAGCATAGAGAAATGCTACTCAACCAAAGCCGAATCCATAGGATAGTCATAGTCGCATCGACTGACTGCAAGAGAGAGACAGAGAGAACGATTAGCGCTAGTCGTAGAATTCACCGCTGAAAAAAGAAATAGAAATCGGGGTGAAGATGACACATGGGAACTTAGGGTAATACCCACTTGTAGCGTGAATCCTCACAATTTACGCCGTTTTTCTAGAATTTACGGGAAAAAAATGGAAAATGGGGTAAAGATTGGATATGGCAAGTCAGTAGGATAAATTCCACTTCGAGGATGAATTTTCAGAATGCGCCCCGTTTTTCTATAATTCATTGAACAAATTGGAAAAACGCGATAAAGTACATTAGATGTGGCAAGTCAATAGAATATATCCCACTTGGAGGATGAGCTACTAGAATTTACCCCGTTTTTCTATAATTCTTTGAAAAAATTGCAAAATCAGAGTAAAGATGGCATAAGGGAAGTACGAGTATTATCTGCTTGTAGCATGAATTCTCAGAGTTTACCCCGTTTATCTAGAATTAATTCATTAAAAAAGAAAAATCAGGGAAGATTTGGCATGAGAACATAGCTTATAATCCACTTGCGGCATGAATTCTAAGAATTTACCCGTTCTCTAGAATTCACTAAAAAAAAATGGAAAATCGAAGCAAAGATGGCATTTGGGAACCTTGGGTATTATCCACTTGTAGCATAAATTATCAGAGTTTACCCTGTTTTCTGGAATTAATTCATTAAAAAAAGGAAAATCAGGGTAACGATTGTAGAAGTAGACATCGATATTTATGCAGGATAGCCCCTTCAGTGTAATAAACACTAGTATCAACGGGGGTCCTCCAGGGGAGGACATCCATCACACAGTAATCTCGTGCGTGGGAAATTAACGTCTCCTGCCCCTAACCCTGCAGGAGACGGGACCTCCATTTATTCGTCCCTATCCGGGAAGACTAGAATATCTAATCATTTCTTGATGTTATAGAAAGGTAGCATATTCTTCTCAATTATTTTAAGACCCTGACTGTTGGTCCGGCCGGGGCTCGAACCCTCGACCACCCACACAATAGTCCAGCGCTCTATCCATTGAGCTAACCGGGAGGCGGTTATTGGATATGACAACTTACGATATACTCCCCTTACGGTATAAATTCTTATAACACCCCGTTTTTCTGAAATTCATTGAATTAAAAATAGAAGATCGGGTGGAACTTATAATGTATTCCACTTACGGGATAAAATCTCAGAATTAACCCCATTAGTTTCTGGAATTAACTAGAAGAAAAACAGTACATCAGGGATGTTCCGAGTTATAATTTATTTCAATTTTAAGATGAATTGACACAATTTAGCCCGTTTTCAGAATTCATTGAAAAAATTAGTCAACGCGCTGGAATATATTCTTTTTATGAGATGAATTGTTTTTTTTTAGATTTCTCTGAAAATAATGGAAAATCGGGTAATATGGCGTCAAGAACGCCAATCTCGATCTAGTCCCCTCACGGCAATAAGCCCTCCGTCGTGAAGAAAAGTGCTTAAGTTTCCTGTGGAATTTCTTTAATTTCTTCAAAGACAAGCTCTATTCACAGGGCGATAACGGGCTCCTCGTCAAACAAAACATCATTCAGGAAATTTCAGAAAGCGGCCTGTGTTACAATGACTTAAAAGATCTTTACAACAACGGTGGGAAGGAAGCACTGGTCGCCATTCTTTGTAGTAAATCGCTAATATCGTGTCGATCACCTCCACGAGGAACAAAGCATCCTAACACTTTGCACAAATACTCCAGCACTTTGAAGGCAAGTAGAGCAGCAGCCATTTCCAGGCGCAATCCACCCAAAAGCTAAACCTCTCTTAGCAAAATAAAGCTCTTTAGAAGAGCGTGAAGGACGTTTGTCGAAGAAGAAAACCTCGTGGCGTCCGTGGCGTGTCGTGGCGTGACACAAATATTGCGCATGCGCAATTGCCATCTTGTCGAGTCGAAGTTTTCAGAAATTTGAACTTTTAGACTGACGTATTTCCGTCTCCGCTCGATTAATTTTTTTTAATTTTTGCAGGTTAACTTTGAACGGTTCTGTGCGTGTTTAACAAAAATGCGAAAAAATTCTGTCAGAAGGAAAAAAAGAATTCTAAAATGAATTCTAAGAGAGACCTCTTTTCGTTAAACTTTGAGAGAATTTTTTAAACTCAACAGTCAAGTAGGCCAAGACAGTCGAAGGATGCATGCAAAATCTAAAACAAATTCACCATCCAGTTTTTAAGAAATCTCAAGTCGTCTAATTTTGGACCCAGCATTGCAACCCAGCAACGTTGCCATGGCAACGAATTTTGCAATAGAGTTATAACAAACTGATCCTTCAATAATATCTTTAGTTCAGGGGAAAATGTAATCGCGATTTGTTAAAGCTAAGCTTCGTTAATTTTAGTTTAAATATCCTGCATCAGGAAAGTGGAAAACTATATCCAGCCTCCTTGAGAGCGACTTTTTTTCAAGACCGCGTGAGAGGTGGCACATCGACCGAAAAATAACTATCCTCATACTTCAGTCAGAGATGCCTTATAGTGAACTTAGAAACGTGGTAGGTTTTTTTTCTCAGACTTGCTTCTATATCCTAGAAAATTCCCGAAAACTGAAACGAGCGTCGGTAGCCGCAAAATGGCGGAAATCAGTGCCCTAAGTAGAAGCAAATGAACTTTGCTCATGAAAAGCGCAAAAGAAAGCAAACTCCCAAAAGTGTCACGGCAGTTTCAATTTGGCTACGGCAATTTCAATTTCCTCCCGGCAAAATCAACGTGGCCACGGCAATTTCAATTTGGCCACGGTAATTTCAACCTGGCCACGGCAAATTTCAATTTCAATTTACTCACGGATATTTCAATTTGCTCGCGGCAATTTCAACTTGGCCTCGGCAATTTCAATTTGGCTACGGCAATTTCAACTTGGTCACGGCAAATTTCAGTTTGCTCACGGCAGTTTCAATTTACTCACGACAATTTCAATTTGCTCACGGCAGTTGCAATTTCTATTACTCGAGTAATGAGCCCCAAGTGCATTGTAGGTTATTTCCCATAAGACAGCACTTCGAGTGAGCAGGCGAAGCCATTTTTCCGAGGCGGGAAAGTTTTGTAATCGAACGCTGGAAGATGTTTTGCGGAAATTGTGGCGCTGCAGTCTTAGTTAGCCAACGTTTCTGCACAAACTGTGGATCAGGTGAGTTTTAAGTTACTACTTTGCCTAACATTTCTCGAAAAGTGTTCCTTTTGGAGTTCACAGCCACATGCCGGAATACGGAGCACAAGGTCAGACTGGTGATTCTCACGCCTGGTCGCCAGGTTGGCCCCAGGATTTTTTAATCTAGTTTAAAAACTCTTTATTGAATTCAATACTCTATAGTGTTGGCGTATAAGCCGATGAAATAATTTTCGTTTTACGCGCAAGTTCTACTGGGATTTTTCAGTAATTCCGCTGACATGTGGTCGTATGTAAATTGAAACTGCCGTGAGCAAACTGAAATTGCCGTGAGTAAATTGAAACTCCTGTGAGCAAACTGAAATTGCCGTGATTAAATTGAAATTGAAATTGCCGTGGCAAAATTGAAATTTTCCGTGGCCAAGTTGAAATTCCCGTGGCCAAACTGAGATTGCCGTGGCCAAATTGAGATTTCCGTGGCAAAATTGAAATTGCCGTGGCCAAATTGAAATTGCCGTGGCCAAATTGAAATTGCCATGGCCACGTTGATTTTGCAGGGAGCAAATTGAAATTGCCGTGGCCAAATTGAAATTGCCGTGACACCTTTGGGCCACCGTAAAAACGGACCATTTCATTAAATTTTGACATCACGGATCGCTTTTAAGAATCGCCAATATTTTAAAATCCAAATATCCCATTTTGTAGCAAATTTTCAATTATCATTTTCACCATGCGGTATAACTCAGAATCGCTTCGGGTTAAGGTGGCTGAACGCAGTTTTCGCGCGCGCTTTTGCTGATGCAATTCAGCGCGCGGACAACGATTGCGAAAATAAACATGCCGTCATAAAGCGGTCATATTATAGTAGTATACCACGTCTAACCTGGCATTCCCGCGCGGCCTGAGACCGAGTTTGATAATAAATTAAAAAACGGCGCGGTCATGAGCCGAGTTTGTTCCGAATTAGAGCCGAGAGCCGAATTGGGGTCGTAGAGTTATTAGAGCCGAAGTCGAGCCGAAGTTGAGCCGAAGTTGAGCCGAATGTGAATGTATCTGTCACTCGATCCAAGCAAAATTCGGTACACTGTATCAAACGACTGGTTTTGTAAATCAAGAGAGTTCATGAGGATTGACTGAGGAAATTGAGTCCTGAAGTGTGACGTCACGTTACCATGGCGATAAAAAATGCAGTTCTAAACAAAATATCTTATGCGAGCGCTTTGGACACGCTTCCTTTGTTTTGAATGTCTAAAGCTTTAATTATCCAGTGTAATCCCACAAAAGACAGTAAAAAAAAAAACAGGAAAGGTTAAAGGGTCATCCAAGGGATCAACTTTTGTTTAAGAAGTGTAAAGGACGCGGGTCAAACGGGCAAAATGGTTTACTGTTTTGCTCCTACATGTGGCCATTCGTCGGAGGGCAACACTTGCAAGTTCTTCGCTTTTCCAAGCGCTACAAAGCAGAACGACGAGTACAAGAGATGGATTCGACTCATAAGGTATGAACTGATATTCAAAAAGAATTCCTTAATCGGTGAGAATTTGATGAATTACGTGATTTTAAGTGAGATTTACGGACTCTATTCAGGTGAAGAGTTGACATCAGGACATGAGGGAGAATCATCGAATACTGAATTATAGAAGCTTCAGCTAGTTGTCTTTTTAACGGTCGCTTTGTATTTTCCGTAGCCAAAACCTTAAATCTGAGTGCTTCATCGTGTTTTTGGAATTTAGATACATTTAAAACCAATGTAGATCTGCTATGTAACGTGCTTGATCGATTCACGAAATGTTTCGCGTCGCTTCGCGATTTTGCCTTCGCTGGTTGTGGAACGGCTATGTTGTTGACAACAGAATCACTAAATCGGGTGTTTTGTTATTAACAGAAGAGAAGATCGAGAGCCCAGCAAGTACTCAAGAGTATGTAGCTGCCATTTTAGGAATGGTCAGAAAGCCAATGGTCCTGAAGTGTTTGAACGCAATAAGCATAAGTTATTTACTGAACAAAGGGGTCCACCGCCGAAGAAAATAAAGAATACTGAATCAAAGGTAGAGTCTCTTTCACAGATGATAGAATTTGCCCGAAAAAATGAACAGCCATTAGTAGCTGACACAGAAGAAAACCTGCAAACAACACAGGAGATTATCCTGGAAGCAGAGCTTGACTTTGCCAACAGGGAGCTAAAGGAACTTAACCAAACTGTCCAGTATAAGAGGAACAAGTACACTGTGTCTGCGCTTGAGGGAGATGTAA